GGAGGCCAAAACTTCGTTTCTCATACTTAGGACATATTGTCAGGAGGGACCAGTCTCTGGAGAAGGATATCATGTCTGGTAAGGTGGAGAGTCAGAGAAAAAGAGGAAGACTTCAGCGAGATGGACTGGCAAAGTGGCAGCATCAATGGGCTCAAACATGGCAACAATTATGAGATTGGCCTGGGATCGGGCAGTGTTTCATTCTGTTGTGCATAGATAGGGTCGCTATGAGTCAGTACCAACTAATGGCACCTAACAATTCTGACAAAGCTCCCAGGTGGTTTTGAATGTGTCATCCTCCCCTGTCCTGTAACACTACGGAGTCACTGCTCCCAAGTTAGAAAGACATGCCTAGATTCAGAAGTGTCCTTGATTTTTTATCTCATGCATAATTCCGCTTACTTATACTGGTTGAGTGTCTGTATTCTTTAGTCTTTCCAGTATGGCTACAGAACACTTTTCATACCAGGAAAATCACAAAGGAACTTACCCCATTTTTGGACAGTTTAAGATTAAATAGGTAGATCCAGATTTAAGGTTTAGAAGAGCTATGTGGAACCTTACATGTTGAAGTTAATACTGCTACCTGGAGACGCAGCAATATAATCTCTATATCTTATGAGACTGGGTCAGCCATCATATACCCCATAAATGCTCTTTTCTCCAGGGTAAACAGCCTCAGTTATTTCTGCTGGTTTCACAGGTCATGGTTTTCCAGCCTTCTCTGTCCGGTCACTGTTCTCAGGGTATGCACCATCTTGTTGGAGGTCTTCTCTGGTGTGGTAGTTAAAACAGAGCATAATATTGTAGGAACAGTCAGACCAGCAGCCTCTGAAAACTTGAGTGTCTCTGGAAGGAAGTTACAAAGAGCAAGACAGAAGAGAGGATAACAGAATATGGAAGAGGGTTGAAGGTATACTAGAACACACATTTTAACAATTTCAAACCTCTGTTTAGTGGCTGCTACTATATTTGGGGTTGGGAGGGAAGGATCATAAGCTAGTTTCACGGCAGTTAATTGAACAGACACCTACTGGGTGCCTAGTCAGGCTTAGACAGTGTACTGGGTGCTCTAGGAAATCGATATGAGCACGAAGCAGTCTTTGCTCTCAAGTGGGCTGAGATTTAGAGGGTGAGTGCTTGGGATGTTATCCTCTCATGTATTTTGTTTGAAATGGCTTTTAATTAGAGTGGCAACATGTAAGAGAGATAATGTTGTTGTTATGTGCCATTGAGTTGGTTCTGATCCATAGTGACCCTATATAGGGTTTCCAAGGAGTGACTGGTGAGCTTGAACCACCAACTGTGCAGTTCAAACTGACTTTGTGGTGCTTATCCTATAGCACCAAACTAGGACTCCAAAAGGGACAATGTTGTTGTTGTTAGGTGTCATCGAACAGCTACCTCTTGGTCCATGTACAGATTCTTCATGAGCATAATTAAGTGTTCCAGAATACTCATACTTTGCAATGTTGTCAATAGCTTGTCATGATCCACACAATTGAAAGCCTTTGTATAGTAAATAAAGCCACAGGTAAAGTCTTATATTCTCTGCTTTCAGCCAAGATTGATTGGACATCGGCAATGATATACCTTGTTTCACGTCCTCTTCTGAATCCACTTGAACCTCTGATGCATTTATATATTGGATTATAAGTTCTCTGTCAATGTATGCTTGCAGCCGTTTCTGTACCGCATTTAGTAAAACTTTACTCGCATGGGCTATCTATCCAAGATATTATCCGATGGTTTCAGCATTCCGTCGGGTCACTTCTCTTTGGAATGGGCATATATTTATTGATCTCTTCCAATCAGTTGGCCAGATAGTCATCTTCCATTTTTCTTGGCAGAGATGAGTGAGTGCCTTCTGTGCCGCCTCACTTTCTTGAACGATTTAAATTTTTATTCCGTCAATTCCTGCTGCTTTGTTCTTCGCCAGTTCCTTCAAAGCACTTTGGACTTCCTCTCTGAGTATCATTGGCTCTTGGTCATATGCTACCTCTTGAAACGGTTGAACATTAACCATTTCCTTTTGGTACGGTGACTCTGAGTATTCCTTCAATCTTCTCATGATGCTTTCTGCATCATAATAACCCCCTGAAATGAGAGCTGGTTCTCTCCATCATATAGAGACATCCTTCTAGCTCTCTGAAGTATTATGCTGGTACCTGGAAAAAAAGAGAAGGGAAAAAAGAAGGAAAGGAAAACAGGGGTTGGGGGAAAGTCAAAGAGCCAGGTTCTTAAAAGAAAAAGAATCCAGGCATTTAATTTGTCATGTGGCTATGGAGGTCCCAGATACTCTCCAGGAAGCCCAGATAGCTTCCTCTAAATCTTTGCATCACATATTCACAGATTCAGAAATGTTTTCTTAATTTAATTATTAAGCAATGAAATAAGTACAGTTGGTTATGTATGACAGAAAGAACCACTAATTGCCAGTGAGTTGATTCCAACTCATGGTGTGACATACATGTGTCAGACTAGACCTGTGCTCCATAAGGTTTTAAATGGGTTTTATTCCTAGATGTCCCTGAGTGGAGTTGAACTTACAATTACAGTCTTTTGGTTA